ATAAGAAAGTCCTTTTGCTTATAGAACTAACTAATCATATCAATATTAAGAATTTGTAAAATTGGCAAAATTTATATACATACTAATACGAAATTTAGAAAGAGAATGTGACACGGCAAACTTACGTTTTTAAGAAATGCAATAGGACCTTACGTAATTAAATTTATTGGCCCATTTTGTTCAAGCATCTTTTAAAATTAACAATCGAATTAATTATATACCAAGAAAAGGCAATTATTTTCATATTCAAAATTTTTGCGAGTTATCCTAAAAAGACTTGGTCTATTTAACAACAACGGAATAAACCTGTTTTTTTTTGAGGTAATTTAAAATAGTTTCGATCGATCATTTTTTTTTAACCATACGAATTATTAGCATCATGATTTCATTTTCTTAGTCGATTACTTTAACAGCGAGAGAAGGTAATAGATATCAATTCCTGTTTTGCATTTTCAAAAAAAAATTTGATCTATTTTTCTAACAATAACAACAAAAGGATTTAAATCCCGATTAGATGACCAATAATCAAGATCTTACTTCCTCTCTCGATCTTTTTTTCCCCTAACTATATAACGAATCTTTTCTCGAATAGAGAAAATTTGGGAGAGTGGGAAAAAATTGGAATCGCATAACGATAACAAAGCACTTTAAAAAAAATAAAAAATTGGCTGAAAAAACTAAACATAATAAGAAATTAAAAATTAAAAAGAGGCCGCGTGACACGGCAAATTTCTTTTTATTCATGTTAATTAACTTGTTTGCAAAACCAAGCTATACATATAGGTAGAAAGTTACTTTTACAAAATCTATATTTATCTTATGAAGCATATGACTTGATAGGTAAGCTGATAAACAATAATTCCGTATAAATAAAGATGGAATTATCGTCCGTCATTCTTGAAAAAAAAAAATTTTTTTTTATTGTTTTCTCCATTTTATTCAATTCAACAAAACGCAATACTGTAGATTAATCGAGTCAAATTTTTAAATTCTTATTTTTACACCATGTCATATAATAATTTATTATCATTATTATCACCACAAAGAAGAGAGTTTATATATAAAATTAATAATGAAATGTATAATAACGCTTTGGTTAATTCTGATAGAGAAAGTATAAAAGATTATTTTTTTTCATTGGTCAGAAAAAACAAGGAGCTTTCTGGCAATGAAAAAAAATATTCTAAAAAAAAGTTTATTTACGAGTTTGAATTATCTAATGCAATTTATAAATCAGGAAAACCAAGAGAATGCAATGAATGTGGATCAACAAGATATTCTGATAGATTCTGTGAAAGTTGTATTAGCTTACAATTACAGAGTCTATTCATTACTTGGACATCCGGAAATTCCATAATTAATGATTTTATTCAACAATGTCAAATTGAATCATCTTTGCCAGGCTATATTTTAGAATGGATACCTTTTGAGCAATTTGGTGATATTACAAAATTAGCTGATGGTGGATTTAGTTCAATTTATACTGCTACATGGGCAAGAGGAGCTATTTGTGATTATAATGAGAATGAAAAAGAATTTAGTTATTTTGGAAATCAAGAAGTAGTATTAAAAAGTTTAAATAATTCAAATGATCCAGGAAAAAGCTTTTTTTATGAGGTTGGTATTAGTTATTGTTTAAAACAAAATAAACCATACTTCATTATATAATATACTAATTGGTTTTATTTATATTTATTTTCAGGCAATAAATTATTGTAAAATTAAATCATCAACAATTGTTCCTTGCTATGGTATAACTAAATTCCCAGATTATGGAAATTATGCAATAGTTTTAAGTTATGCTCCAGAAGGAAATTTAAGGAATTATTTACAAAAAAATCATTCTGATTTGACATTAAAGAACAAAATCACAATCTTTAGATATTTATGTGATGCATTATATTGGATACATGAAAAAGATTTAATCCATTGTGATTTACATAGTGGTAATATATTATTGCAAGGAGGTTGTTGTTATATTACCGATTTAGGATTATGTGGACCAGTTGATGAAAAATCATCAAATAAAATATATGGAATTATATCATATGTTGCACCTGAGCTACTTAAAGGCAAAATCAATACAAAGAACACGAAAGAATCAGATATTTATAGTGTTGGGATGCTAATGTGGGAAATATTTGCAGGTCATCCACCATTTGATGATAGAGCTCATGATTATCATTTAATTTTTGATATATGTGAAGGTTTACAACCACCAATACTTCCTGAAATGCCTGATGATTATGCAGAAATAATGCAAAAGTGTTGGGATATGGATCCATCAAAAAGGCCGACTATTGAGGAGCTTTTTGATTTTGCTGAACAAAAGTTGAAAGAAGTTCACACAGCCGAAACTTTGAAAAATAATCGTAATAGTTTAATAAAAAAATTATTCAGATTTTCTAAAATTAAAAGACATGAAATTGATTTTAATAATTATAGTAGGAACAGCAGTGGTAGTATTGGTAGATATTCTAGATATTCGCAACGAGTACACAAATCGCATCCAGATTCGTATCATATAAGTAGAATATTAGATGAAGAAATTACTAAATTTAAAATATTAACAGTAGTTCATTATTAAATAATCTTGATCTTCTCTCAAATGTTGATATTATTAACAAAGGTAAATAAAAATTTTATTTGGGAAATTACTATCCGTTAATTATTTGTTGCTAACAATAATTTTTATTCCGATTTATTTAATTAGATTATCGTAATAATAGTGAAGAAAAAGAAGACTAATTTCCATTATAATAATAAATTTTTATTTTATAAATTATTAGAATGATGAGCCTTTTTACAGTTTTCTAATTCTTGGTAGATTTTTGATCAACTGTTAACACCGATTATTTAATATTAACAATTATGGACGATTAAATTCGGTTAATTACGAATTTGTATCGGTTCTCGCTTGTTGTACCTAGCTAGAAAGCTTCGGCGAATCTGTAAGCACGTTTAATATATCAGATAACTGTAAATAAAGAAGGCTCTTTTATAATTTTATAAAATTCCTTTTATATTCAGTTTATTTCGATCGTTTATATTTATTTGGCCAATTGCAGGCTCGCTTTGGCTTATTTACAAAACAACTTGTTTAACAGTCTTATGTTTACGATTACAATAACACTACTAGTATTTCCAACTTAATCATTGGACAATGCTTCTTCACTAACCGTTATCAACGCTTGCTAATTAACCAATGTCAGTTACTAAACCCTTGCTTACTCGTTAAATAAATTACGTTATTAACACTCACTAGTTAATCGACGTAATCTCAACCTTCGATTACTCGCTAAAGCAAATAAACGTAGCATTTTACCAAGGCTCTCTACACTTGTTGCTTTTGCCAAAGCGCTTTAACGATTTTAAAAGATTGTTTTTTAAAAATAGTGATTCCGATTAGAATGTTAATTTTGTATTTATTTACTCTCCTGCTCTTTCAAGCGAGGATCAGAATCTCTACAATATTTGTAACAGATCGATTCAAAAATATTTAAATTGTTTCGATGTTAATCGCTAGTTAAAAAACCCCATTACAATAATTATGTAATTGAACTCTGAACACGTTCATGAACTTTGAACTGAGCTTGAACTGAACGTCAAACATTATATGTTCAGGTTCTTGTTCAAATTCAGTTCAATTCAAGCTCCGAGTTCTGAGTTCAATTGAACTTTGATCATACGTACCAAATTGAACGCGTTAGTAATATTAATTTTAATTTTTTATTTTTTTATCAAGTAGTATCAATAATCATATACATACATGTATGAATAATGGATTAATTCTATTTGTAATTGATTAAATGTCCATGTGCGCTTGCTTAAGCCATTAAGCATGATATACTTTTAACAAATTAGATCGTAACACACTGTATATATGCGTGGAATCCTTGGATTGTAACTACCGAGTTGATGTAGTATCCCTGATAACAACCATATTAATATGATAGTTACATATGAAGTCACGTGTCTTATATAGGTAAAGCTTTACATGTAAGGAGAAAAATGAATGTTACTATTATAAAAAAATTTCTAATAGCCTGGATTATAATAATCCAGGGCCCTGTGTCAACGGTAGTATTGAATTTGTATAAATGTGTAAAACCTGTTAGTGTTTCTATTATTGTCTTGTGTGTATTTGGTTTTACCAATATCAATTAATTGTGATTATCCATCAAAAGTTTTTGTAGTCCATGTATCAAACAAAGCTGTATTTGTTGAATAAACTGTTGGTACATAATCTATAAGACTAGATTTTTAATAGTGTGTCAGTGATGCCTGAGTGAATGAGTTTATATCTATTTTTGGAACGATTTGTTTTATTGGCAATGATACTTTAAACTGCTATATACACTTACCTACCAAAAGTGCCCAAGAACTAACCCAAGTAATAAAATTATGTACAAAACTTCATATTTTAGTACGTATGAAAAATTTTCATCGAAAGTTTTTTTAGCCACATAATGATTTATGTATGAGCTTTTTTTGAGTAATTAACAAAAGTAGGCAGGTCTTTTGATAGGGGATACAGAATTTTTTTTACTTGTAAAAAAAATCCATCAAGGGTGTTTTATATACGCGCCAAAGCTTGTTAGAATGAACCCTAATTATGATTGTGATAACAATATAATGAATATTGAGTATAATTCTTTATAAAAGACCATGGAAAAGGAGCGCAATGTTATCTAATTCTTCGATAGCAATAATAATGATGATGATGATAATGATATGCGAATGAATCATAATAAATAAAGAGTTGTCGTAGATAGATATATAGATACTTCACTAAAAAAAAAATTTTTGATAAAAAGTAACAAGTTGAAAATGAAGTAAAAAAGAAAGAAATAATTCAACAAGAAAATCAAGGTCATCAAAAAATAAGTATGACTTTTCAACATTTTTATTTATTGTTATGTTGAAAGTAAGGTTAAAATATTCTGATAAATAAATAAATAACAAGGAATGTATATATACTATTATTAATTTGACTGCTATCAATTACTATTTCCAGTGCCATTATCAGTTTTATCTTTCCTGTATTTTTTACCAATTTGATGAATACGTTCCACAAACATAGCAACACCAGGAATAACTCCCATTTCTGAATCAGAAAATAACGATTTACCCGGACTCGCAACAATTTGTTCACCAGCACCCAAACCACTATTAAAATAGTCATCGCTTTCTTTAATATCTCCTTTGCCAATATCGCCATCTTTACCAACAACATTTTTTTCAGGTGTTGATTGTTGTGATGTTGCTGATGCTGATAAAGATTGTGTTGATGATAAATATTTATCATAATTTGATAAAGACATTTCTATAGTGTTACAAACAAATGAATCTCTTGATTTTAAACGTGAATATTTTGCCAACATGTTAATTTCTTCCATTAATGTCTCATGTCTAAATGATATTCTAACATTTGGTGTATTCGTTCTATGAATGTCTATAATAATAAATATGAAATTAAAAACAACAGAGAAATATTTATGCATGAATGTACATATAATATATATTGGTTATAAACGAATATTTGTATCAATAATAAATTTGTTACCATTTCCATCAGGACCTGGTAAGAACCATTTTGACCCGAGCCAATGTTTCTTTAACATCATTTCAAATCCACTTTGCAATACCGAATTACGTGCTAATTCACACATATCACAAGCAGATAGTTTCCAAATCTATTTTATTATTATATATATGTAATATAAATATGTTGGTTGTAAATAAACATTAGTACATAAATATATTTGAACAATAATATTTACATGCCTACCTGTGCAGCTACACTGTACTCTTCAATCAATGGCTCTTTAGTGTAATGAAATTGTAATGGATCATCGGTACTAAGACTAACATTCAATCCTTTTTGAAAAAAGCTCATGAATGGATTTCTTTCATAAGTTAAAAACAAAGCATTATTCGATAATGGCGACATTGCAATTCCAATTTGTTTCAAATAATATAAATATTGCAATGCAGGAACTTTTCTCAACAAAATGCCATGTGAGATTGAATGTGATGTCAGGAAAGCCGATGTTAAATGATCAGTGTCACCTGCTTCACCAGCATGAGGTCTCAAAACAAAAGTATTGAATCCGCGTTCTTTCCGCCACTGGTTCAAACTGATCATATTTGCATACATGTAGTACAAGTAGTAGGAGTAGGGCGGGTTGAGGTCGGTGTCCCATTTTTTTGGTACTGGATATTTTTTGTGAATACGTCTTTCTGCTTTCGACTCGTCATCCACGCTGTCAAATCCAATTACGCGTTGTAAAAATATGTGTAGTTCGGGATTTTTCTTCGGGTTTTTTGTAACTTCGTACAATGGCTCATATAAATCTATTGAAGAAATTTTTAGGCGGGTGAGCAAAATCAAATATTTAATTAAATATAACTTCTAATCATTCAACTCGTAATTCTTGATTTATAATTATAATTAAATAGTACAAACTTTTTATAACATCTTCGAAATTTTCAACAGTCTTGGTAGATTTGTAGATACTATAAAGCCTAGGCATTTGAATTAACCACCTGACATTTGGTGAAAATATTTTATTGTGTACCACCCATTTTGCAAGTTTGCTCCATTCAGATTTTGATCTATAAAGAATTGTTTGTGGTGATTGAATAAATGTATAGATGAAATTAATAAATTATAAATATTGTATGGATTTTTTACTACCTTCCATATATCGATATTCGATATTCAGCCATTTGATATTTACTTGACTCCAAATCTGAAATAACCTCTATATAATTCACCAAAAAAATACACAGATACTTATGAACCACAATAAATTAATAAATAAATAAAATAAATAAAATGCTTATTAATTAACCTTTAGTTAATTCAGCAAAATATCTTCCTTGAACATAATTATCAGATTTCAGAAAAATTTCTCGGAGTCTAGATTCACCAATTGGATTATACTTTAGATTAAATTTATCAAATCTATGAAACGTATCTGTATGTGCCTATTATTATTATTATTATTATTATTATTACATGTCATTATTATCAAATGTGCACTTGTGCCTATGTATGTGAACAATATATATGTGAAAGATGCTGATAACACTTACATGCATGTCCAGTGTATCGATACTAAGATCGTAAGCTGTCAAGCCTAAACTTTTAAATACTTCAATTAATGTGAGAACTTTGTTATCTCTAAAAATTACTTCATCCTATATAATTAATTGATTGATTAATTAATAAATTGCATAATATATTTCAATAAATATACCATTTCATAATCGATAATTACTCACATTTCCATTTCTCTTTAATTTTGATTTGATAAACCTTAGAAGATGCTTAGAATTCATACAAGATGATATATGAACATGAGTATCAACTTTTCTAACATTATAAAAATCTCTATGTGGAACTTTCTATTTTTTTTATTTTTTTTTTTTTTGTGAAAAAACTACATTAAATTTTTTTTATTAAATATTCCCTATTTTTTCAAAAAAAAAAAAAAAAAAAAAAAAAAGCAAACCTTCGATTCAGCCATCTCTTGATATTCTTTGAGTAGAGTATACATGTTCCATTTACTTTCCAGATATCGTAAACGTCTATAAGCATAAGTTTTTGTCGGGCCATCAGAAATCACATTTAATATAAAATCTAAATCCATAAAATATTCTTTGGTGGATGGAACCAAGTATAAAGGTGATGACGATAGTTGTGATGACGATAGTGGTGATAGTGGTGATGATGATCGCGATGGTGATGATGGTGATGGTGATGGTGATGGTGAACTTTTGTCCTTGTGGTTTTTGATTTTATGATTTCTAAGATCTTCTTCTGATTTATAAACATAATAAACTCCATCTGTGGATAATTCATATACATACTAATATTATTTAGCAAAAAATTTTGATGTTATGATTAATATTAAAATGTTATATAATTCCTTCCTCTTCTCCATTTCTCTCCCCATTCCTCTCTCTTTTCACATATATTACCTGATGATCACCAGGTATCTCACACTCTTCAACATGAAAATCTTCACCAACAATTTTCACTGCTTTTTTTTTATTGAGGTTAGAATGTTTCGCATAATAATCAGCAGCAGAAGACGGGGCAGGTGGTGATGGATAAATTTTATAATCCTCATGATCCTTTGGATTATCACCAAGTCGTTGTAATGAGAATTTCATATATTTATCGCGCAATTCAAGACATTTATGAAAATCAGTGTATAAATTATTTAATTCCTCTTTAATTTGTTTCTCTAATTAATATGAAATCCAAAAAATTAAAAAGTGAAATCATTGTAATTATTATCATAATAATTATCGCAATAATATAAATATGGCTTACCAGCAACTTCTGCAGTATCATTAAATTTACCATTGTCAACTTCAACACCAACACCATCTCTATCCTCAACAAGACTGCCACTAACAGTAGTAGCATGAGATGCTGAACTTGTAGAATTAGGTTCCAGACTATGTTCAGATGTTGTTGTCATCATTGTTTTAGATCTCCTTGCCCAATAAGCTGAATCATTCTTTACATAAAATTGAAATTGAAATTGAAATTGAAATTGAAATTGAAACTTTTTATCAATCCAATTTCATTAAATAAAATTTAGAAAATTATCTCACGCTTTGAATAGTTTTATCAACATGATAAGAGTAATAGGGTGTACTCATTTTACTAAAATCTTGTCTTGTTCTATTATTATTATTTGTTAAATCATCATCAACTTCTTCTTCATAGTCATCTAATGGTGACGAAGAACGAACAATGTCGTTGTTATCAACATCTTTATCAATATTTGATGGTGTAGTTGCAGTTTCCTCTTCCTTTGACATTCTTTTATACAAAACAGGAAATTTTGATCAAAAAAATGTCGATCAATCAGTATTGATTGCGCAACCATAATATCTGTCTATTTGCATACTGTCGGAACAAATGAATTTCTATGCAAAATAGGCAGACAGAGTGTTCACGTTATCGCGTGGTTCCTGATCCTCTTTTGCTTCTTCAAAATCAGTTTGAATCATTATTTTAAATGATTTGGTCGTTTATCCTTCCTTTCTTATTTATTTAATTTGCTCAAGGTGAAGAAACAAGAGATGATCACGTGACATACATCATACATGGTCGCGTCATGATTTTCGATTGTAAAAATTTCAACTTGAATTTTATTACATTTATAATTTTTAATAATAAAAAAGTATCTTTAAATAGTGAACGTTAACAAATCTGTCTTAAAATAAAACAACAACCTAGGGACTGTTCAGATGAGATTAAAAGCTAGATAGTGTAAAAAAGATTTATTATGATTCTACGAAACAAGCCACTATTAATGATTTTTTTTTTAAATAATACTTGTAAATCTTTCACTAAATAATAATTATATTGTGGGGACCAGGATCATTTTTTATGCTTACGTTATGCAAATAGCTCACAAGTCACAATATGGGACCATGACATCTTTATGCAAATAGACAGGTGCGGCTGTATTTCAAACAAACAGTGAATCAGAAACTAAATCAGCAAGCAGTAATGTTAAATTACCCGCATATGTCAAAAATACTTGTGCAAACCGTAACCTATTATTGATTTATATTCTCACACACATATATATATGTATGTATATGTATGTGTGTATTAATCATTATATCCTATACATTGTTGATGGAATTGAATAGTTCTTTTCTTTTGTTGAAAAAGATGATGCAATTCCATCATTTACTCTCCTTGCGCTGAATATGATAATACATTTACTGGTGTGGGCAATTATATTGATACAGAATTATTGTAAGCATGTGTAAAGATGTAAATGTTTACATGAATAAATATGTGTATGTACACATTATTTAAATAATTTAAATAGGTTCAACAATATATATATATATCAATATACCAAGAAACAATGGCGGAATTGAACTCCAATCGGAAACTTGCAAACTAGACTACGGTGCAGATTATCTATAATCATTAATTGCTTATAGTAACAATTGGTCAACTTCAAAATACTAAAACAAAAAAAAATTATATCATTTTAAAAAATTTAACCGATAAGTTTTATTGTTCATGACTCAAGCTTCAAAACTTATCGGCTGGTTTTTTCTTAAACTGAAAATTGGCAGAGCCTTAGCATTTTGAAAATTCCGAATTTTGTTATACATTTAAGAAATTGAGACTAAGTAAATTTCGTGTAACAACTTTTTTTTCATGGAATATTTTCTATAACATACATTTGGTTTATTTGATTTATTTATTTCCTTTTTTTATTAATAAATAAAAGTTCTTTACAACAAAAAAATTTAACGAACATATTACATTAAAAGAAAATCATTACTAAATTTGGTCGATAAGTCGGTCATGTCAGGGCAGACTCCTGCGACCGACTTATCGAATTTCACATGATTTTTAATTTATTAAAATAAAAAATGTTAACATTGAAAATATATAATATATATAATAATAAACATTGAAAATATATAATAATAAACATAATAATAATAAAACTATATCAAAAAAACATTAAGGATCATTTCTATTATAAAGATTTTCTTCTAAAGTAGGTTGCTTTAGTGAAGCATTTTGTTTTCTTCTAATTTGTTGTTGTAAATCTCTCAATCCTGAGACTACTGAACTGTTAACTTTTATATCGGAATTTTGTTGCAAATAATTAAATAGATTTTGGATGTTATTAATGGCAATTGTATTTGATATTCGAATACTCATCATATCTTCTGCTTCTTCATCTTCTTCCTCTTCTGGAGCTTCTTGTACTGCAGATGATATAAAAATGAGATAAAAAAATATAGATGTATTGTTCGCAATTAGACAAGAATGTTCTCCGAATTATTTGAATGATACAATTGATG